TATGTAAGTGGAACCTGGTAACAGGACGCCTGATGGAGTATTTGCTGACTTAATATAGGCACGAGTGTCCTTTTCACGGTAAATATATAAGATTTAGACCCTCAAAGTCTCAATGCTAACATTTCATAATAACGTAGTGAATAAAGACCACGACCGTCTGGCTATGTCGACTATAACCGCAACAGGCAAAGACAAAACAATATTTAGATTAGCGACTAATGTTCAGGGATGGTCTTACGGCGCAAAAGGGGCGACGAAGGATCCGTGGGGTGAGAAGCAGGGTGAAGAGAACCTGTGCTCTGAGGGATGTTTTATGAAGGTGTGTTGGAGAGACTTGAGATCATTGTATGAAGGCTGACGTTTGAAGGAAATCAACAAAGAGACAGCAGAGACGGGAGTTTGGTCAACTGCGCAGTTGGAGCTACTACGAAGCTCAGCAGGGGTATTAAAGATGAATCCTCGTTGCGCATGTCTTATCACCTGCATAATCAACAAGCCCTGCGCCGAAATCTACCGTCAACTAGGGATAGAGAATCTTCTCATGCCTCCTGGCTGCCAGACCGAAGACCAGGTCGCAACAGTTGAACACAATGAACCTCGCCCAGGCACGAAACGTAAGAAGCCCGCCGTCCCTTCTCTTCCTGGTTACCCGGCAGATTGCTACTTAACCCACGCCCACGAACGACGGTCCGCATTCCAAGCTTGCCGCCATCTAGGACAATGCACGGAAAGCTGCCCATGTGTCATCAGTCATATCACATGCGAGAAATCCTGTATCTGCAGCCCTGATTGCCCCCGCCGATGGCGTGGGTGCGCCTGTAAAAGGGAAGGCCGAGTATGCACCAAGGACTCCTGCATATGCGTCAAGGCCAATCGCGAATGTGACGTCGACCTTTGTCACTCTTGTGGGTCTGCAGAAGCATTGGACCCAGTTAACAGATATGAGGAACGATTCCTCCGTGAAGGCTGCCAGAATGTATGGCTTCAACGTGATATGCCAAAGCGAACTCTCCTTGGCCGTTCTGCTGTTGCAGGTTTCGGGCTCTTCGTGGGTGAGGACGTCAAAAAAGACGCCTTCCTGGGCGAATACAAGGGTGAAGTAATCACATCTGACGAAGCTGACCGTCGCGGCAAACTGTACGACAAACGAGGCGTCTCCTTCCTTTTTAATCTCAACCTAAATCATGTAATCGACGCCACCCGTGCAGGCAACAAATTTCGCTATGTAAACCATTCAAAAACAAGTCCAAATTGCGGTGCAAAGGTATTCATGGTAAACTGCACACACCGAATCGGAATGTTCGCCAGGCGTGACCTCCGCGCCGGAGAAGAACTGTTCTTTGATTACGGGTACAACAACAAGCAAATCAAGTTTGTACAGAAGGAATTCGAGCCTCCTGAAATGATTAACCCCTCTGCAGCTGCAGGCGCAGCAAAGAAAAAGAGAACTAGAAGGAAGGAACTCGAATATCTTAAAGGTGGAAAAGGTACTACCGAGCGCTCCCGTGCTCGCATCACGGCTGCAGAGGCAAATCTAGCCAAACCTACGCAGACAACCACTCATCCAATTTCTACCGCGGCTACCAGAGTCCGCGACCGCTCAGCAAGAAGCTCAGAATACACCCATGAAACAACATCGGAAGAAGACTCGCACCATCAAGAAGACGAAGTTTCAGGCGAAAGCGTGGATGAGGAATACGAGCCAGAACCAGAGACAGAGGAAAGTCTGGCAGTAGCTGAAATAGGCAGCACGGCAGACGTGACAGAAATAGAAGAGTCTGAAGAAGAGCCGCCTCGAAGACCGAAGAGGGTTCGAGGCCGAGGTCATTGAACTGTGGGTTAAGAGTGCAATCCAGGCGGCAAGTGGCACGCGTACAAAGAGACCAACACTATTTTACGCCTACAAAGATTCACAGTCGTGAACCCTCACCTTAAACGGCGAATGTCCTCAAAGAGGGGCCGGTTACAGCTGGTTCATATTGTAATAGCATAATTTTGTAGGAGCACTGAGCGTTCGCATGGGTTCGCGGGTTGATATGGATTTGTAATTTTATAATAACTATATTGAGAGTCTTTATTGATATTATCAGAACATTGTTTGGTACTGAATCCCATAATACATCAGGAGGTTTACCTGGGCCGTCCCCTATTCATGAATACTTGAGCCTAAAATAAACCTCCGACCATGCAGCCGTTCGTTCTTAGCAGGGAGCCTTTGATATTGCCAAGCATCACGGGAAATCACTCGTTGTATTCACTCCCGACAATATTAGGAGCACATTCTTCCAGATCTAGCAAAGAAAACAATTGTAAAAAACAAATCGTGAGTCCTTGAAAATACAAGTGTAGAAGGAGACCAGGCTTCCAACCGCTTATGATAACGTACACTAGCAGCAACAAGAATCCAAGGCAACTAGAAGAAAATTAAAGTATTGACGGTTACAATTCGGTAACGGGGAGTCAGCCAAAAGCAACAATAAGTTTCATTTTAGTAGCAATTGAGATTCAGAGAGAAGCAATCATAGGTCCCTGTTCATTGTTGGTTCTGTTCTTAATTGTAGGTGTTCAAATCCACAGATTGTGAGCTGAGAAGATAGAGGAATACATTCCTTAGCTCTACTCCGGGGCCGGTGGAAGCTTATAAAGTGTAAAAAGAGTCGAATATACGAGATCTATATATCTTCAGCCTGGGCCAAAATAGCTAAGCCCGGACTAGTCCAGAATACCTAAACTTGGGGGCCAGTCCAGTTCACAAAATGCTGACTTGGATAAGTTCATATATCGGATCGCCATCGAACTCTCTAGGCAAAGTTTTCCCCTTCGCAGACAATTTCACCCCCTCTATCGCGAATATTGCATCCCATTTCTTTGCCTCAGTTTATGGGGCGCTTGAAGTCTTTCTGGAGGCAATAAAACTTAACGACGGCCTACAAATATTACCACAGATCATGAGGAATCACTCTCTTTTGAAAACAAAATCTCAGCATGCATTTGATTGATTGATTGATTAGGTCAATAAGTGTCTCAGCGTGCGTGATTTGTAGTTAGTTTCTTTAGTTAGTTTCTTTAGTGAGTCTGTAGTAGGCCTCATGGGTGCTGGGTCGATGTGGGTTGGATCATGATAGGGGCCCTGAGCCTATTTGGCTTAGTTGTACCTGAAGTCATGTCGGCGAGGCATATATGAGCGGCGTCTTATATCGATGACAGATGGCCCTTAAGTCACGTCTTGAGTAAAGATTAATTGGTCACAATCATCCAAGTGGTAGACATCTTAAATGACTAGAAAATTAGTAGGGGCTCTGAGATGAAATGGAACATACTGTGATGAAACGACGGTGTTTCTGTGACGGAGATGGATTATTTGCGGGCTGGCTCATGATGTTAAGAATTGGGGGGGGGGGGGGGGGGTGGTTGGGAAGCAAGTGATATTATTTGGAGGGAAGAGAGGGAGATGGAGAGGGGGGGAGAATATGGTTTTTTGTTAGCCTCTTTCCATAGCGAAGGTCCCTCCTTCCTTTCAATCCTTTAGACTTCCGGCCCGGGGGAGGTTTCTGTGTTCCAGTTAATCAGTAGAACCTAAAACTGTGGCAACTAGCTGACCAGAAAACGATGTTCCTTGCGCGAGTTCGTCTACCAAAGAACCAAGAGGGTGCAGTTAATTAGTCACAGCCGAGAGAACACGTAGGTATCACTGAAACACAATGATCAGCACAAAGGCGGGGTCGTTGCAAAGTTGTGGACTTTAACCCTCAAATATCCTTCAAACCACATGACTCTTCTGATAGATGAACTACACGACTGCTTTGACTACTGGTTTATGGCCGGGACTACATCTATCCAGAAACTCACGGCTTCTTGCGAACAGTATGATGGAGGTAAGTAAACGCCTCTGTAGATCTATATCATAATATAATGGTCGTCGATACTTTAGTTAAAGCTCGCCCAGAGACATGCCACTGTTCCACTGACAAATACGTGACAGATCACGCAGATCACGCAGATACTTTTTCAGATCAATTAATGGCTACTCCCTTGAACATTTCCTAATTAGTTCAAGCTGGCGGTGGGTTCACCCGAGGACAAAACCAAATCAATTGAAATAAGATTCGCTCTTGGCGCCAAGCCAGGCGAGTGAGAACATCTGATTCAATTACTTGGTCGAACACTTTACACCTCTAAAACTCATATAGCGCAGTATATACCGGCTCCTAACGGTTATATTACACTTGGAATCCAGTCCTCCGTCGCAAATACCCCCACTCAGAGGAGCCTTCGGTCCCAATAAGCTCGTTCCTCAAAAGCCTCACCAGTTATTACTAGCTGACAATAATTATAGGCGAATGGGCAATCCTCAATCGATCCGTGTTCAACATCTGGACCAGTAAAAAATTGAGTCCTCTTTTAACAACGCCGAACACGATTCGAGACAAAAACCTGTTTGACAGCATCTAAGTCTGTTTCACCCACGGGTCGGGAGATAAAGGCGTTCTAGAATCTTTTGGGACATTGTTTAGGTTTAGGGTTATAATGCGTCCCTGGCAACGCTAAGAAACAAACATTAACAAACAGCATGTGCTGATTTCTAATCACGGGTTCCAACAGAAACTTAATTTCAACGATCCCAAACTAATAATAAGGGACCTTCCTAAACAGGATCTCAGTACTAATATTTGGTCAAAAACTGTGTGTTCGGTGATCTGGATGTATCTTGTCTTCCATATCATGTAAAGCCCCAAACAAATATCCATGAAGTTCTACAAATGAAGTTTTATTATTTCATATACAATTGTAAATAAAGTAAGTATCTTAGTGATTCTTAAGGCATGCACTGCAGCTAATTGACATTAGATATGAGAACTCAAGTCCTCAGCTCATGTTCACCGTACCATAGGAAATAACGATAACAACCTAACCACACACAAAACTCCGCCAAACGCCTTAAAAGAAGAATCCCGCCGTCCAAAACTTATATACGTAACCTAACTACATACCCAAGGATGTTACTGTTCCAGAGACTTTCTTCCCGAATCGGTCCTTGGCATTTGCCCATCCCCCGACTCCAAAGCATCCATGCCACCCACCGGGGCTCTACTCACAATATGTTGCTCGCTCTCGCTGTCCATCGTGACAAGGTCGTGCTGGAAGCTCCTCGAGACTGGCGACAAATATTGTAGCGGGTATGGGCGCTCGCTGCTATTGCTTGCGATAGCGTCGGACGATTTGAGGCCGCGTTTGAAGTATTTCCGGAAGAGAGGTTTGATCGTGGGAAGGGAGCTGGCGGTGATGCCAGCTTGTATCTCAACTCTAGGGGGTTGTAAGCATGCTTGAATGTGAATAGGGCTAAGCTCTACTTCTGGGTGGGAGCGAGGGTGGGAGAGGGCGGGTGAAGGGTAGTAAGTAGTACATACATGGACCAGGTTGCGAGACCGTTGATGTCGTCTATGAGGTGTTATTAGCAGATGTCTTTGTACAATGTGATATATTGTTAATTATCACCAGATATCCACTTACAGAGATAGTCACCCTTCTTTCCAAAATCGACAGAAAGTGTAAATTTTACGACGCTCGCCAAGCTTGCACTGGAATAGGTTAGAAAAACTTGAGAGACGCGGGGGGCGGGCAGGTGAATTACAAAGTGCCCAATCCAAAGACGCCATACACCGCCATTTTCTGTCTGCGCGGCATCTGCACATTCCACATCATAGCAATAACCAAAAACAACAGTGCAAAATCAGTGGTAATGTTAGCCGCTACATTAAGCGTCCTCAATCATATTAGTATGGAAACTAAATAAGTGAAGTCTAGCGGGAAGGCGTAATATAGCTTACCGCTATGTCCATAGGCCAAAATGCTCATGAATTGCGGCGACAAGCATTTTCCCTGAAGGCTCTTGTCCCATGTAAGACCGAAAGGGTGACACTGCGTCAGGATAAAAAAGAACATCATTATTGTGTAAGTCACCATGAATACGATTATGAACCAGGCTATCTTTGTGTAAGTTTTGTAAGGCGAGAGACGGCGAATGAAGAGGGAAACGCTGATTTTGGCGATGCAGACGCCGGGGATGTAGAGGAGTTGGGTGATCCAGCTGATCTAGCGGTGATTCCTTCTCGTTAATCTTTAAAGGTACTTGTACTAATATTAGGATTGGAGAAGGTGTCTAGTATACCATTAAGCCAATTTTGTATTCATTGGGGGGCACTTTATCGATATGTTCACCAAAACCAAAGAACATACCCACCACTACAAGGATACAGAATGAGTTTCCAAACATCTATACATAGGCCAATTAACCACCAGAAAACACACCAGGAAAAGATGAACAGAGAAAACTTACAGTCGCGATAACAACCGCCCAGTCATCAGGGCCGAAAGAACGAACTATCCTCAACCGCACCCAGACTCGAGCTGGAACGACTATCGTGACGAGCACTAACGACAAACAGGCTACTGACATAAGCTTATTGCCTCTGTCAGTATGATAATAGCCACCCATCCTTCGTTATTCTTTAGTCTCCTCCCTTCCAATCCTTCCAATCCTTCCTTCCTTCCTTCCTTCCTTCCGTTTGAGCTTGAAATTCCCACAACTGCTAATGGTAAACTCTGTGGCTGTTCCTGCAACTGTATCCTGTAACGAACGTCCGGTAGTCCCACTCGTACACTCCCAGAGAAGTGTCGAGAGAGTGGAATAAAATCGAACGATGATGCGACCCACATAGCTTTCTTGTTCTTTTTAACCTTAGTCGAAATCCATGACCCAGCATTAAGTTGTATGGCCCATGAGACACACCGGGCCCTAGGAACTCTGCTAATTGGGGTCCCGGGGGTCTCACACAACCTTTTCTCAGGAAAGCAGGGAAATGGGTAGTTATTGGGTCGGACACCCGACTCTAAAATCCCGGTATGTATCAGATCGTATGGTATTTCACCCCACTCTACTTTTACAGCAACCCAAGCCAATGGGGGGGGATGGGAGAAATAAAAGATGGATCAAGCCGTAATTTACCCCAGAGAAAGAGGCCCAAAAGAAAACTGATGCTCGAGCGCTTTGGGAGGAAAGCTTAGCGACAGCTACATGTATTACGGATGCACGGATTGGGTGGACTGTGTGGCACACTACTGGCGGAGGAAATCGGAAACTGCAATTGCAATTGCAATTGCAGGCACCAGCCAGTGTAAACCATCTTTAGACCTCGAGCTCGGGCTCGCGTAGGACTTCTGAACTGTTGCTGTTGCACGTTTGGGGCATATGTAGCTACATACTGGAAGATCTTATTTTTCCAGCCGTCCTAATAATATAAACTCCAGATAGACAGAGTTCGGAGTCTCAACCGGAACCTACTCTACGTGGTAAAGCAGGCAAGTAAAATAACCTCCTTCGTACTGCTTGCTGGTGCTGATGCTGTATGCTGCTGCTGAATGTAGAGTAGAGTACTAAAAAACTTGCAACAGCCGGTGTGCTATTACACTCGACTCAGGTCAAGCATCCAGAATCCCAGTAGAGTACCTACTTTGTAGATATGCGGTTGCACATAGCTACATACTCGTAACTTCCTGACGTTTTTGAACGCGACTGATATTGCATACCATACAAAAATACGCCAAGACCCTGATTTTGGGTGTGTGCAATAGTGGCCCAGTCCAAAAACGCCAGGAAACTACGAGTACTTGATGTCGCGTCGGAAGTCGTTACCCCATTGAGAACGAACCAGTTGTCCGGGTTGATGGCGCCCGAAATGAATCCTCCTCAGCCTTTAAATTTATATGCCATGGAAGTATGGCGCGAGAAGGCATAGGGGGTGGGTGTGTCAACTTCAGAGGAACCTTTTTTGTATGGGAATTAGAGAAAATTCCACCGTTAGGCTAGGCGCTAGTACCATTATGGGAGTAGATCTCCCAATTTCTATAGATTGATTGGCTACAAACGCCGAAGTTTACACACCTACCCACCATAGCTTCTCGAGCCATAAGTAGCGGAGTTTTTTTTCTTTTTTCTTTTTCCTTTCTGTCGCTGGAGTACCGTCTGTGCTGTGCGGTAAAGTACTCGTAGTTTCCTGACGTTTTTGGACTGGGCCACTATTGCACACACCCAAAATCAGGGTCTTGGCGTATTTTTGTATGGTATGCAATATCAGTCGCGTTCAAAAACGTTAGGAAGTTACGAGTACTCTACTGTCTCTGCTCTCCATGTAGGCGCCGCCGTGCCTGCGCGGAACTTGAAGTGATCTAGAAGGGGGGGATTGTAAAGCAAAGAAGCATCTAAACCTAAATGTGTCGACATGCACCACCCAGCTGCTTGCCAAGTATCTGCACGACGTCAAGTCGAGGAACTTTCTACACGCTCTAGCTTAATAGCTACATACATGTAGCTAACTGGAAAGAAGGATAACCTCCCCTCCTCCTCTTCTTGCTCCTCCTGCTCCTCCTTCTCCTCTCCTCCGGATGTCAGCACGACAATATTAACCAGTAGAGTACTCGCAGCAGGTAACAAGTACCCGAAAATGCACGTCCTAATCTGCAATTTCCATTGGATTAGAAGTCAAAAATACACCAAAAACTTGCAGCTGCATATTCGGGTACTTCATGCCTGTCACGAGTAGAGTAGCTCATTACTCAGAGAGGTAGCTAGCTAGTATCAGTTAACACCCGTTATACCCCTATGGTCCTATCTGTCTACATACTACATCCGTCGTTCGCCCTACGCATATATGTACGGTACCTTCATCTACTTTATCCTATGCTACTACAAACCCACGGATAAGCCCTGGCCCTGCCCTGCCCTTCCCTTCCTTGCCTTAGTATATCCGCTCCCACACACACCCACACATCTATTCGAAACCCGTCCCGCCGATGCATCAACTCTGGTACTCTAAAGTACCGGGTGTGCACGTTAAATACCGAGACGCCTTGAAGGATTGGTTGATTTTGTATGGGAACCGCCCATGGTAACCAAAAGCAGCCAATGAATTTTGGCCTTGGCCTCAAAATTTATATGGTGGAAAAAAATACCGAGACGTTTTATCTATCTTCACTTAAAAATGCAAATATTTTCCTAAAAATACAAAAAAATAACCACTGAATAGCCCTTGTTCACAGGTTCATCTGAGTACTGATTCGAAGTTATCAAAGAAGTTTTGGTGAAGTTCGAAAAGAACAGGAGTAGAAAAGAACAGGAGTAGAAAAGAACAGGAGTAGAAAAGAACAGGAGTAGAAAAGAGGTTGAGGAGGTTGCGTTGCAAAAGCTGCGGGGCAGACTGTCCAAATACCTGCTTGGCTGCCAAGTGTCATTTTAATTATATCAGATTCCTTTACAAACCCTCACTTTTTAAAATTCCCCAAAAAGGGGTTCTCAGTACTTACCCTCAACCCCCGGTACATGTAGCTGCCTACTCCAGAGTAGGCAGGCAGACCAGCTACTCGCGACAGGCAACAAGAACCTGAACATAAAAACGCGCTAGCAGGGGTCAAAGTGGTTGCTACCAGAAAAACGATGTTCAGGTTCTTCTTGCCTGCTGCAAGTACATACATAAGCTAGCTAGCTACTCTACAGTCAGCTACGCTACCTACATCATCATACATGTACACACTCTGATGATTCTAATCAGCTTGCTAGGTGTCCTAACCTCCCGTGCTCGGGCCGCCGAGATCTACACATGTACTCTACAAAAGCCGGGGTTGGCTATAGTACATGGAGGTTTCTAGGATAGATACATGTAGTATGGATAGATAGATAGGCCTTGGGCTGTTGTGCTCACCGATGGTCCATGTGTGGGTGGGTGGGTGGGCGAGTAGACTAGCTGAGGAAGTGCTCATGTAGGTAATCGACCCAATGGCCTGGTAACATGAGCTACCTCAGCCCAAGCTTTCCGTGTGGAAAGCTTAATGTCAGGGGATGGAGGTCTGTTTTTTTTTTTTTTTTTTGTTTTTGCGTTTTTTTGTTTGCACTTTCCCGCACGGTGGGCGCGGGTGAGGTTTGATGGAAGATGTCTTGTGTTGTTTTGCGAATTTTAAAAGGGTGTTCGTTTATTTTGGGAGTGTGGTAGAGTATGGTAGTTATAATATGATGCAAGTAAGTATTATACTTGGTAGGGTACGTACCAGCAATCATGATAATATGTAGTATAATCCATACTTCATACATACAATAGTAGACATTATAGAGAAAAAGAAACATGAATAGAGAAAATTCATTAGACATTTATCTTCGCTACCCCCCACCACATACCCATATCCATGTCCATATTCATTTCCATCAATCGATTATTCGTAAGTATAGCACAAGGAGCCCCCAATGTCCATAACATCATAAATGGGCACCTGGTCCGCTAGCACACCCACATCAAGCATGTAATCCAGCGTGACATTTGGGCTTGCAACGGTGTAGTTCCTTGTCGGGCCCGCAATCTCATACAGGCGCTCGTCAATGTTCATATTCTGCCACTGCCACCAGAGCCTATCGAGCTGTCCGTGGTGAAGGTAGAACAGGGGGTCTATATATCGCGGCCATCAGTACTAATCACTGATTAGAGTTGGAAGGGAAAGAACTAACCGCCAGGACTAGAAAAAAGATCCACCATCGTACCGCCTGTTCCACCATGGCCAGAACCGTGCTGTCCAACGTGGTTGATGTCATTCAGGAGTCCCTCCAAGCTCTGACGGAACTCGTCGAATGTGGGCAGACTCATGGTCGCATTCATGGCACTGGGTGTAAAGTACTGCTCCGGGTACTGGGAGTGGAAGTCCCTGGACAGGCAGTGGTCGTTACGGTCAAGGCTATCCACGGGCCCAATGTGCACGGTAATGTTGGCAAACGGCCCGTCGGTGATACACCCGCCGCCGGTTCCGCCGGGAAGGCAGGTCAGAGTTACCTCGGGGCAATCGACGTAGACGCCGTTTCCACCGAAGCCGGTGGTAGGATCCCAGATCTCCGAGCCGGGCCAATCCTGATAGTCCTGTGTCCAGTCCCAATATCTGGTTTTGTTTTTGTTTTTAGCTGTCATGAACCACACAATAAAATATATATGGAGAGTACTCACGGTTGACCGAGCGTCCAGCCACATTCTTCACGGATCGCTTTTTCGTAGACGGACACAAAGTATCTGTGCCATGGCAAGAATTGCCCAACATAGTGGATGAACTCTGTTGCCAATATATGGCCGCCCTGGAAATCATCGAACCTACTAACGGCCCCGGGGACGTTTGCAGTGTCGATAGCAGGCAGAGCCATCATACACTTGACGGCATCTATGTAATCGGACTTCTGTTCAGTAGTAAGAGCACGCCTACCAACAAGTAATCAGTCAAAGCTCCCAAACACTGGAAGAGTGGTTGCTTGAAATAACCAAAAATAACATACCATTCCTTCCTCACAATGGGGTTCGAGCATGTCCCATAAGAGTTGTCTCCATCATCATTATTATCACCACGAGCAACAATGTGTCTCGAAGTAGTAGGAGCGCCGAGGCCGGTTGACGCAAGTCCTGCAATGAGGAGAAATGCGGTACTGAAACTGATCGTCTTCATATTTGGGAGAAGGAGATATAGTCTGATATGAATATATACTGTATAACTCCGGGCCGTGGACGTTATTGTGATTGAGACCTTTCTTTCTTTCTTATCCAGTAATCGATCTCCTTATACCATTTTATAGGAAATTTCTTCTGGGTAGATACCCCGAATTAACTAATCCCCTCTTCGCACGGGGCGCAATGGCGGGCTAGCATCTGTCTCTGTGTATTTTTTCTCCTTCTAGTCGTAATATTTTTACTTTAGTTTAGTGAGGTCGAGTCTATCTCAAAGTCATCTCTTTGCAGGCGCAAACGCGGGTGCCGGATAATTTCAGTTCATGGTGTTGTGCAACCCTACCCTACTCTTAGTAGAAATCACGCGTGGTATAATCTTCCCGAAATGTAGGTACGCGCACAAGAGAGGGAAAGAACCGATCTGGTCTGCGGCTACGCCGTTCCGAGCCCATCCTGTGCCCCCCAGCTACAGTCTGTAGAGTATCAATGTTTTGAATTTTACTTTTTCGGAGATTACTATTCTACAGACTTTTCTTTTGTGCACAATTGATCATCAGTCTTTCTTCTCAAATAGAACATGAGGCGTTGGAAAGTGGAGAAGGGAAGGCTTACATCCAGTGACTACAAGTGGTCGTGGCTAGGCTGTAGCTAGTCGTCTACTCTAGGGCACCTAGATAGAGTACATCAATTACAAGTAGGGACATGTAGAGAGGATAGTATCAACATACCTACCTCCTACCACATATAGTAACCATGCAGCTAGATACTCTTCAATACGCGTATGCGTATCCGTACTCTATTATCACGACTAGATCAAGTACTCTACTATAGCTATTAGCTACATGTAGTTATAGTCTCCCTAGTATTAGTACCGTAGTTGCTAATCCCTACATGCCTACATGCCTACATGCCTACATGTACCTACCAGGTCCTCCCGGCAAGCCGGCAGAATCAAATTCAAAATTAACTGAGATATTTACTGTACCTACATTATGCATACGTGTATCTCCTTACTATAGCATACTAGATCGAATGCCTTGTAGAGCACTGGGTCACCATCTATACCCTACCGATAACTAGTTAGTGTAGCATCCATAGCCAACCAGTAACGAGTGTGGCATTGTAAATACATACCTACAAAATATACTCAAAGAGTCTAGTACCAGCTTAAAAAGATCTCACGATCAGGACATGGCTGCATACTGCGCCTCTTTGGTACTCATATTCATCACAGCTACCCGGGTACTGGAAGCCCTGCTTTGATCACCCCAGTTAGTTCCCCGCATGTGAAATGCCCCGTATCATCTAGAAAAGCATATATATCCTAATAAAAGAAATCAGTAGTACTTTATATAGAATATAGAGAATTGGCACACCTGCGCGCTGCTACCGCATCAGCCAGCTAGAATTTGATCCCTCATCCCAGCTCTTCCAGGTAAATACATATCTATTTTATAATAGTAACTATTTGAACTTAGAGCGTAGTATTTTGTGGCTATTCTCACACGGGCGTGTAACAAGCACGTATCTCTCTACCACTTTAGCAGCTGAACTTTGAACTATCGCGAGTGACCCTTTATGATTGCGTCTGCCCACACAATCAACTGACGTGTCGGTTAATTTTTTCGGTTATCTAAAATGTCCTAGTGCTTTCCAAGATACGCAACTGTATGTAACACTGACTATAAAGAACTCGGGCTTGGCTGGAAATGAAGATATAAGATTCAAATTGTACTGTGCGGCTATAGCTGCACAGGAACTCCATCCGAGGTACTCTCTGAGCTGGGTTCTCATAATGACTCCTTGTTGGCCTTGTGATGGAAAATAAACTTCATAAAAAAACCCTGATATGGAAGCCTTAGCCTGAATCAGAAAAAGCTGAGATCTAGACGGGCGTCACATAGACGTCCCAGATCGAGTGTCATCAGTAACGGATTTCATGCCGTTGAATATGTATCTCGGCTGCCCGTGAATATTTCATAAAGTGAACTACGCTGAAGTTTCCGAGAGGTATTATCGGTGCCAAGTTATGCAAAATATATTAAATAAATCTAATAGTAGTTCGGTGGGGATTTTTATTACGCCGACGCCGGTATTGTTTGTTGCCGGGCGCTAATATAGTTTACATGCCAAGTTTGTCAATACCGTTGCACCACGATGGTTAGTACTACGAAAACTCACTTCATTGGTAACCAAACCTATTTGCGGTCCCGTAATAAACATATTACGTCCCTTGCCATCTCTAATGCTGATAAAACATGAATAATGTGCAAAGCAGCTACCTTGTAACAAGCCTTCAAGGCTAATAACTATTTTGCGGCCATGGAATGTACCACAAATAAACCGGACGAAATACAAGTTAGCGGAGCATCTAGACATCAACAAAGCCATGGCGATACAACACATCTATGGAGCTAAGATTAATATTAAGCCTTGAATTCAAGCTCGGGTCTTTTGGGGCGCAGCTACTAGAATCCTCGAGGCGTAATCATGGGACTAAAGCTCTTCAGCGTCTGCCTACTTACCTTTTGCCCAGGTTTAGTTGAGAGACAGAATAGATACAAACTACATTGTACAAGGAATAACCCTTGGTTGGTGGCTCAATTCAAGACGCACGAAACCGCCACGCCCCATGCCTCTTGTAATTAAATCAGGTGATGATCGACAAAGGTTGGGGAACGGCTTGATGCCGAAAGACTGAAACAAGCCGTTAAGTGATGAGCTTGACATGTGCATTATCTATTTCAAATATCACAAACTCAAATATCGAAAGTGAGTCGGCAAAGGCACTCCCAAAAGAAATCACTCACCGATGAGGGGAGAGGATCAACTTACCACTCACAGATCACAAATAGGTAGCCTCACAAGCCACTATCACGTATAATCTATTGATTGGTAGAGAAAGCTTAATAGAGATGCAGTTTTAAGGCACGAAATATGCTTTGTAGTTAAGGTCAGTTTGTACATACTAACAAATCACCAAACTGGTGCAGGTGGATGCAGCCATCTGAGACGAACATGAAGCCCATGCGGACCAAGGTATCAGATCTCCAAAGATGCCAAAGTCATGCACGTAGTGATCCTAATACATCTAAAGTTTGAAAATCCAGCATCAAGTCGAGAATGATTTAGCACAGGGTTGTTGCCCCGGGTATGATAACAGCCTGACTGCAGCTGCATGATACTCAAAAACCTGGTTGACCGTGGTAAACAGCCGAAGAGTTGGCGGAAAGTTCGTCCGATCCTGATCATGATACCAATCGCGAGCTCTCGTGTCTCGATATCAACTCTTCAGAAATAGTCCAGCCAGAATTATGGGTTCTTTGAACCCTCCTCAGATAATTGAGACATCGTATGTACCATGTAGAGTACTGGGTGCCCACACTGGTTTGAACGTCAGCTGTCAGCGCCGGCTGCTATGTACGGGGAACTCTCGGAAATAGTAGGAATTATAGGAAGTATGCTGAGTGTTAGTAATTTTGAATACAAGGAGATCTCTTGCTAGATATGCTGACTCAACTACTAGAAACTTATACACGGAATTTTGGTAGTCATGCTAAGAAGCCCTGTACGAGTAGTCTACACTTTTCAGACGAAGGTTCTATCCCAACCAGTATAGCCGGAACAGTGTAACTATTCATCAGTCGGAACGAAGTCCACACACAATTACAACGTAAATGAAGCGCCAAAACTTGTTGCATGCAGACAACGTATCGCTGGTACGGATTTATCGGTGGCCGGATATGCACGTGTATATTGAAGATATATGCGGTCGATAGGGTCTACGAGGACGAACAAACGGCACGTATCTCTTCCGGATCACATCCTCGGATCTTTTGGTATTGTCTATACATGCATATCTCTCGGCCGAATTTTATCGTGCGTATCAGTCGTGCGAGAGAACGTTGAACGAGTGAGAAAGATCTTCTTGGCTCAAGTGATGCAAATGAAAAAGGGAGGTTAGATGACATCTGAGAGATTATATTGAATGAAGTGAAGTGTAGAAGTTCGGATGGGTGGTCCATAGTGTCCTACGGGTTCAAAGTAGGACATGTGTTTGCATTGGCTGTGGAACGTGTTCAAGTGCCACAGCATATGCCATACGTAACCCATGCTGTTTCCAGGGTTAACGTTGGTAACGGGACGACCGTGACAGACATGTAGGAAAAGTGACGGCCTTCATCAATTGAGGGTAAGGCCAGGGTGGTACCGTGACATGTGTTATCTTCGTGCTAGACTTCTGACGCCCAGCCAAGCATTCACTTGACGCCCTATTGTAGGTAAACCTTTGCTACCGCCCAAAAAACCTTTCGATATATGTTCTATAACCCACTTCCTAGAGACTACAATAGAATATAGTTCCAAACTAGGGGTCTTTTCAATCCCGGCTTGAGAATTTCGTCAATTCCCAGGCTGCGCACCATGCTCTATTCGATCAAGAATAGCGCTATCCACTCATATGATCATGATCTGATCACGAAGGGCTTTTCCTGGAATGCCCTATTCGTAAACTCAACAATGAACTGATAGGCCACAGAGCAAATATTCGAATGTACAACACTGGGATAAGCTATACACATATCTATAATTAGCTATCGAGAAAAGGATGCCCTATTTAGTTGACCAATAAATGTTCGTATTCTCACAAAAAGATATCGGGACCGGTGATGAGAATATTAATATGGCCGAAGGATCGCCGCCGATTACCATCAACTCCGTAAGACCACTCGAAGGTCTGGATACAGTTCAGGTGATCGAGTTCACGTTCGTTAAGATACAATAGTCCAGTCAAAACTTGGACGATCTGCTCCATTCCTAGATAAAACGATTCATGCAAATTCACTCGTCAACCCGCAGTCTTCTAGAACTAAACAAGATTATCAGATGAATTAATTATAACCAGAACACAACAGACACTACATTTAGGTACCGTTGTTTCCTGAACGTCGGAGACAATTTGTGGGGCAGGGGCGCGTGTACGAATGTGCCAGAGCAGGACTTTAGTTGCCTCGAGATGAGGTCCGCCTTTGTCGAAAATGGATACTCTACCTTCCAGTGTTGAAACCCTTTCAATATCACAGTTACAGGGCTCCGACTGGGCTAATATTGGCCTGGCCGAATAAGCTAAGATGTGATGGGCAAACTCGGGTTGAAATTATATTATCTATCTCAAACGAAGCTGATTATTATAACTTCAGATCTAGCTCAGCCCAGTGACCTTTTCCCGGGACAATAAAAGGCCACCAGGAATTGAAAATATTATAAAACCTTTTATAGCCATAGAGTTCGGAGGATCACTTTGGGCCTGTCTCGTACCCAGCCAAACTCCTTGGCGCCAAGGTTCGTACCTCGTGCAGCTTCTTCGGCACTAAACCACCCCCATATGGCAATGCCAACAGTAAATTATTCAACTCCTCTCCGGCCTATGGGTTAAAAAAAGTAGCAATTTCAGTGATCAAATTAAGGGTATCAAAATATCTTTCCGGAATACTATGCCTTTTGTGACTTCTCATGTCGGAGGTAAAATTGCCTGCCCGAGTGCCTTTTCCGGAATTCAGATCTCAATTCCATATTTACCAAAAATACGAAATAATTCACCAGGAAAAGGTAGAAAACTCCGTCTAAATACTCTCTTATTACTAGTTATAACCCGGAAAATATTATCTCATTCCACACTATGTGTTTTTAAACCGGGGTTCTTAAAGAGCCCCCGGAATTACATATATGTATTCATGGGTTGATGCAGCGGAACCGCAAAAAAGATCCCGAATCACTCAAAACCCCACCCAAATCTCACACCCGATTATTGACCAATCAGAATCATAGGAAGTCGGGGCAAGAGACAGAACTTTGGGCATGTAAAGGTTGGAACGCGGTTTTGCCAAGATATCCGAGTGATTGTTCATGACCGAAGCGGGCTTTTTTTTTTTTTTTGTTTAATTCATTAATTATGACCGAAGCGGGCGGAGTTCTATCGGGCCCTATGGGGAACCAGCGGGGATACAACCGCTTATATTTGATGTGCCGATAGTACATGTACACATTAACCTTGGACAGATGGGCGGGCCAACTAAACCAGCTGGCCTAGTATACTCCCCCGTCCCTTCATACCAGACTGTCCTGTACTCTAAAAGGCCAAGAAAACTGGAGGCTCTGGCAAGCAAATATCACCTATAGCGAAGTTACCTACACGTAGTAAATTCTATAGAAAAAGGTTGTACTACCCCCTTGGTATTTATTGAGACCATTTCCTGTCACCGACCCACGATTCACCAAGAGCATTGTTTGCAACTGGCTCTTGAATTATTCGGTGGGTCTAGCTGTGGTATACTGATATGCACAATTCTTTGATACAAGTGGTGGAAGTCTGTAAAAAGATTCACTGCTATGTATATACTGAACTAACTCTTGACCGAGCAAGTTGACAAAAGGATAAGTCCGGATAGAAATTAATATACCTCTGCTAAGTCATGTCACACGCACAATTTCTATTGATATAATCCTAAAAGATATGCCGAGGTCTCCACGTATTTGGCCGGCCCAGGACAACGTGCTAGATGGGTCTGAATATTTACTGCGTACATGTATGGAGCAACTAACAAATAAAAAGCTGTTCTCTCATTAAAACTGACACACTGCACCCTCCGGCGATACCTACAAACTATAGTTCAAGTAAGACAAACTCCAAAGAATTATTTCCCTATTTTACTCATGCGTTTATTAAGCCCTGACAATCATTGGCCGCAACGACCTCACAAAATTTCTCAAGACTTAACTAACCGGACCCGCGATCAATTAATGAATTAAACGAAAAAAAAAAAAAAAAACCGGACCCGCGAGTACATAATTTTCACTATTATTTGGGATTACAGGGAGTGATGGAGCTCGGTTTATCGCTAGCACTTGTGGGCTGCAGCTGCAGCTAGGTCGTCTGCATTTGAACGAACAATTGAACAACTGAGCCATTAATTAACTAGGACTATGTGAAGATAATGCTGTAAATCAGAGCACGATTCAGCTCTCTGTCCTAAGATTTTCTGATACTCTTGACAAGTGCAACTCTCTACAGTTCCTCACACCTGTGTCAGCATATCATCCGGGTGCCATAGTATATGTTTCTCATCGTAACCAGCAAATGGCATAGCAGAAACAGCGTGTTCACCAGCTAGCTTCACCTCCCTGGCTTTCCTCAAACCTTCCAGAATTTCCAGCCCCTCGCCCGATAATTTCCACAATTCAAGCCATTGTTTCCTAGTGTCTTCATCGGTAATTTCCTCCCCAAAGCTAGAAAGATTTCGGTCTGGAGGAAGCCCAATCATTTTGTACATCCATATTCCGAACTCTTCGTCTCGAGCATGAGCGTATTTAAAGTGTCGTTTCAAATCATAAATGTTCCATCGCCTAGTACCGTAATTGCTGCTGCTACTGCCGCAGAGATTGCACTGAATTGCTTTAAATATGGAGTGCTCGGTATCTCTTTGTATGAATAGAGCGCATCGAAAGAATGATTCACAGTGTGGCTCCTTGAATCCGTCAAACTTGATATACCAGTCGAGACTAAGGCGGAACCATAATGCTAGGCGTTGGTAAATGTGCGTCATTCGGAACTCGTTCATCTTCCAAACAATGTCTCTCATATTCTCTGTAACAATTCTAAATCCCTCATCTCGGTGCGGAACCGTCGCTGCGCACCGAATTGGTAAGATTTTAGGCCATGATGCTGAACGCCAATTTCCATGCCATTGTCGTTCATGGTGATGCTGGGCCTCTATGTGGTCAAATAACTCCTCAAAGCCAAGGCCATCGTCGTACCAATTGCAGAATATACAGCAGTAAATCATCCTCTCGTTAGTAGGTATAGATATACGGTTGCATATCTCATCGGCTGTATTTTTCGCCGTGGTGAGCGTTAAAGATCCCCCTGTACCTAATCCAGGCATTTCGGACAACGTTCCCATAACATATTTCAAAGCTCGGATGACGACGCAAGGTTTGTCTTCTACCATCGTGGTGATTTTGTAATTCTTTTTTGATAAGAATACATTAATCAAGTCGTATATAAGAGTAGGCAGCTTCTTTTCCTGACATTCCTGTATTTAATGCCTATTAGTATATTTTACAGTATTTTGGCTTTTGATCTTACCACTGGAATTTCTAATTTGATGTCAAAACTTTCTAAGTCTTCATGTCTATCATCAAGATATCCCAACACTCCTTGCTTGATTTCAAGGTGATCTGAGATCTCTTGCTTAATTTCAAGCTGATCTGGGACCTCCTGCTTGATGTCGACATACCCCGGGACTCCTAGGTCAACTTCGGCATATTCCAGGACTTCTTTCTTGGTGACAGATTCTACAAAGGGTCTTTCGGCATCATCTGGTTCTTCGAGTTTCATTTTAACAAGTCTATCCTCGCCCTTCATGCCCATCCCCTTAGTTAACACCTTTTTCTGATGCACTGGCGATTTGACGTTTGGGATTTTGAATGAAAAAGGACTTTTTGCTGTAGATGGTGTGGACTGCGCGAGCGCACCAAGGGAGTCGGTCGAGGGGCCCGAAGGGCTCTCTGGACGGGATCGTTTCCCAACCATGGTTGTATTTATTGTGATAGGAGGTCGACTATTTGCTACAGCATCTATAGATGCCTGGGTGGATGGTTCGAGAAGTTGACCAGTTAGGCCTAGGCTGCGAAAGACGTTTTGGGCGTTTAAGGCTTGATTGGTTCTACCCCCGTGTGCAATTGGGCCAATGCTACGAGAGTGAAAGGAGCGAGTGATCCTCGTTCCTATCGTACAGTTGTGAGGGTTGGAAGGCTGGAAGGTTGTAGGGCTGAAGAGTTGGAGATAGTGAGATAGTACAGATTGGGGGGTGATGGCTTAAGAGGTATGATGGGTGCGGAGGGAGGAGAGCAAAATAATATCGAGCATATGTACCGGTGGCTACATGTTACCAGCAACGTCACCAAACCACTAATTTGTACACTAGCCACAAAGGATACTACACTAGCGGAGCATAATTGGTATTTCGTCTAGCCAGATGTCCTCCAGACCCTATCATTATAACCTACATTCAAAGTTAGCCTGTGAAAACTGTAAAAAAAGTCACAAGATTGAGGCCAAAGTATTGAAGAATTTGCGGGAGCGTACTATTTGCTTGGTTTAGGGTTTGCTTACTCTGAATATTACGGCCCGCAAGTAACTTGTATCCAGTCAAATACAGGAATCTCTGTAGGAAACAGAGTGGTATTCCCTGATTTATAATTCAAACTCTTTTGCATGGGCACTCAAGCTCTGTAATTCTTGGGCCATGTAGCCTAAGACTTGTTGTGTTCGACCACTACATGTATGTCGCCTATGATACATTTAAGTATATACATACATATGAACACCCTCCCATGCCATTCCCTTCCATCCCATCCCCTCCTATCACATTCCCTCCCGTTCTGTCCTCCTACCCATTCTGCGGAATGGCCACCTGATAGTCCCATCACAAGAAATCACTCGCGTACATCCACCAACCACATGCAAGTTCCGCGACATCAAATGATCAAAAGACTTCAAAAAACGCGCACCCAAAGGTAGAATTCCAATAGAACGTTCACATTAAATCGACCTTAACCTGATCCAGCCTAGCCCAACCCAATCCCCAAATTTTCCTGACCACACTCCGTTTACTGGCAAAATAATCATCTTTCAAGAAGAAGGGGTGAAAAACGAAAGAAATAATAACCACATGCATAAATGAAACTAGAATAATGAGTACTGCGCGCGAATACAAAGAAAGAGACACCTAAACAGTACGAGAGAAAACCCCGCCACCCCTGCTCCAAACATGGCAAAAAAGCAGTCGCGATAGAGTAGAAAGGTAAAATAGCAGCAATAGATGTGTCTATACAGCAATATCATCCCAAATCCTTTCCCTGCTCCCAAAGAGAGAGAGGAAATTCTGTATTAACTCCCCACCTCCAGTCCAGTGTCCTCCTAAACCGTCCAATATATTCGTATTCGCATATCCGCTACATCGAGTCTTCTAACTCGTCTCCAATCCATTCCTCCCTGAACCCTTTTCAATAAATCCTAATCGTCCGAGACCTTTTCTTTTGGTATTTGAATAGTACTATCCCCAACCAACTCCGGCGATCCCAAGCAAGAAAGGTTCGTAAGGTTCTTAGTTGGTCTCGTCGCGAATGAGGGCGACGATCATGCTGTAAAGGTAGAAGAAGAACATTACGAGATGGAAACCGAGCTTGATGAAAGATTCCTATTGTCGCGGGGAATTTCAAAATTAGTCACATGCTAAAATAGGGTATCCATGGAAAAGATCCAATAGGGTGCGGCAAACCTTCTTGTGCTTGTTCAGGGTCCTGAAGATTTCCGTTGCATCGAGAAGGTGCGCGTTGTCGAGGATTCTATTTTTGGTTAGTTCCTATCTCTCTCGCCTTACAAGGAAAACTCCAACGTGGCCGCTTATCTACCGGAGGAGCCGCCGCAAGGTAGGAAGGAAAGGGAACACATACTTCTTGATGTTGAATGCCAACAACGGCAAGTTCAGGACCAGTGCAACCCAGTATCCGTTGATGAGGAATAGCAGAGTGAGAAATCCGTGCACGGCAGCTTCAGGGATGATGTAGGTGTTGAGGCGGTTGCATAGATCGATGGGATTGATGTAATCGCATTCTAGGTCCGAGTACCTTATTCGCTCGTTAGCACGGTGACTAAGAAAAGGCCAGATAATGATTCCTCACATGATAGTAAAGAAGACCTGAAGGAATAGGTTGACGGCATTGAGTAATACCGAGAGGAGGTACAGCCATGCTTCACCGGACATCATTGGGGCGGTTGTGGTAGTTGGAGAAGAGCGTTAAAAAGAGTCGTAATCGCGTACAGGACGTTAGAAGAAGTCGTCAGATGTATGAGGAGTAAGGTGAGTGATGGTCGAGTGAGAGAGGTAAAACGGGCGCGGGAAGGACGAAGACCACCGAGGAAAAGTGAAAAGAACAGATCTGCGGGCGGTGAAAGAGCGCACGGGTTAGACAGGGGGAGGTCCGAGCGGGAGGGGAAGTTCTAGCCCAAGTAAAAGAGGCAAGGCTGCAGGAGGGAGGCACTGGAGATCAGAGACGGGAAACACTCGCAAAAGAAGAACAAGAGAAACGAGGAAGATATTACTCTGCAGGATGTGTGTAGAAGAAGAAGAAGAAGAAGGGGTGATGTGGATATTGATTTACGAGTGTGAATACATGCAGATGTTGACAAGATTCAGGCTGGAACTCAAACTGATCATGAGCAGAGAGACTCGATAGAGAAGAAAGAAGGCTTGGCCAACAACGTCAGGATGTCAAGAGGCAAAGCAGGGAAGAGCAGCGCAAAAAAAAAAAGCCCCGCCACACTTAGCAGAGCCCAGGTGATCACCGCCACATGCTTTGGTAACTCTACGCAGCCTCTTGAAGCTTCAAACCCCGGAACTTACCTCAGAACCACATTCGACTTCATGAACCCTCGCCGCGACGTCATATAATCAGTTAGACCAAACATGTCACTTTCAACTCTACGCCAATCTTCCATCTCTCGCTTCTATCCTGTCATCATTCCCGTCGTTGCTGTCGCTGCGTCCCTTGTCGCATACCAGGTCATTTACAACTCCTCCCGCCCCGTAGCCAAACGTTTAAAGCGCTCCAATGCTCGGAGAGTTTCACGTCGCTCCGGAAGGAGGACTAATAGTGGCTCGAATCAGAATTCTGCAGCTTCGTCGAGCACAGCTGATCCAGAAACTGGCGCAATCATAACGGATGAGCACGAGCAACTTGGTGAAATAGATATTCCGGAATCTATGCATGAGACACTTGTAGAGGCTGCTACCGCTGCCCAAGAAGCTCGCGGTGCTGGAAGAGGTGCGGATAATGATAGTGACTTCTCATATACGCCAGACACAAAAGAAAACCAGAACCTTCTAAATTTATTATACTTAATTGCTGAAGTATAACCCTCTCCCTCCCCCACCTACCTACCCTTAGCTTGAGCTCAGCTGTTAACACTAAATTATAGGATCAATCCAAACGTGATTCATATGTTCACCGCGGAGTAACATGTAATAGTTGTAATATAATGCCAATCCGTGGTATCCGCTATCGTTGCGCAAACTGTGTCGATTTTGATCTTTGCGAACATTGCGAAGCGCTCGACTCCCACCCCAAAACCCATCTTTTCTACAAAGTTCGAATTCCCGCCCCGTTCTTGGGGAATCCGAGGCAGGCACAGACACCATGGTACCCCGGAAAACCTGGACTCATGCCACAAATACTACCACAGAACGTTGTAAAGATATTTGGTGGCGAAACGGGATGTATGAACCCCCCTCCTTTTTATGTTAATAGATACTTACAGGCGTAGTCGAACCACCCGAAATTGAAGCCCTCTACGAACAGTTCAAATGCCTTGCCGCGACCGAATACGTTAGTGATCCTCTTCACCTCCATGGTGCAATTTCCCGCCAAACATTTGACAAATGTTTCGTCCCAAACACTCACGTACGCCCTCCACCCCCTAACCTTATATACGACCGCATGTTTGCCTTCTATGACACCGATAACAACGGCCTCATTGGCTTCGAAGAGTTTGTTCGCGGCCTTTCCGCACTGAACCACAACAAGAGCCGCAACCCGGAGAAATTAAAGAGGATCTTCAAGGGCTATGACCTTGACGGCGACGGCTATGTCGACCGTAATGACTTCCTCCGCATGTTCCGCGCTTTCTATGCCCTAAGTAAAGACCTAGTAAAGGACATGGTAGCATCCATGGAAGACGATATGCTCGAATCAAACCAAGCCGCCAACGTACTGGTAGGCTCACAGCCAATCTCTGCCGCGTTCTCTGGCACTATCCCAACTGGTATGCGCCGCGTGGGGAAGGGTGACGAGGAGGCATGGGAAGCAGACTCAGACGCTGATATGAACCCCGTTGTCCTTCCCTCCGGCGACGACCGGCTTTCCCGTACCGATGTATCCCATCATTCACATGCGCCTAGGTTGCCGGAGGTAACAAGTAGCAATGAGGATGACCAGACATTTGAGGATTGGCTTGCCGCCGGCGAAGATAGCAACTCTGCGGCTGCGGTTGCTGCCACAATGCCAGGTCTAGATACAGGATCGTCCGAATCAGAGTCCTCCCCGGCAGAGAGGGAGGCAAGGCGTAGAGAATTCATGGATGACGATGACGACGACAGTGGTGTTGGAGGCGAAGAACAGGATGTAGGGAGTGAGATTTTATACCACATAACCCAACGGGGCCTCAACGAGCTCCTTGATTATCTTTTCTCCGTAAAAGAAGAAGAAGCACAAGAGTCGCGCAAAACAACCAACCCATACCCCGTTGAAACTCCGATCCCGCATACGCCTGAGGAGCCGGTTGAAGGAGAGGAGTACAAGAAGAAAGAGCCCACACCACAGGAAAAGGAAGCTGCTGAGCGTGCGATGTTTGCTGCAGAAATCAGGGAGCGAGGTGGCCCCGGAAGAATCAATTTCGAGGAGTTTGAGGATATCATGAGGGGTGCGCATGCGAGCGATCTGGGTTTCGTGGGGACCTGGATTGATATGGCGAGTTTCTAGCTGAGGGGATAATTGTGTTTATCCTCTTCATTGGTGTACGATTCACTAGTGGCTAATGGGCTGTGCTTTGGGTACTGGAGTTTGTTGGAAAAGTATCAGTATTTCCTTTTCTCGTTCCCCATCCGAGTATTGGGTGGGTATTCAGAGAGGTGTTTATTTATTGTGTGCACGTAATCTTGTCTCTACTTGGTCTACGAATTGAATAAGCTTTTTTTTTTTGCTATCTCCGGTATCCATGAATCAATGTGCAAACACGAGGATTGCACTTATTATCTCTAAAGCAATATGATATGGCACTAATATTTGTAAATACAGTCACTCTTCAAAAGCGTTCGTAGTATAGCGGTGGCCTGGTATCTCCCCCTAGTAGACAAGAGTTGTCCAGGGCGCTTGGGGTATTGTTTTTCTTTTTTTTTAAAAAAAAAAATAGTATATAGCAACTAGCAATATCAGAAGACTTACTTGCCCACTTGTATGAGCAACATGCAATGTTTGTTCTAGTATGTACCTCCGTGATCACCTGGTTCCCTAGTATGGCTTGGCAACTTTTAGTGGGCAATGATAAGTTTGACGCTATCAAAGTACTGAGCACTCACGAGAGGAGGAGGATGGGGCCGAAGGCCCCTCATGATTGTAGAGGGAGAATTAAATTTTATTTGATACCCATAATTCAACGTACAACTCGCGGTCGCGAGTTGGCACACCCCTAGTATTATGTACATGTAGTATATAACACACCGAACCCAATCCATCTACATATTGCATATAATTACCAGAAGACACAATCGCCTGAATGAAGCTGAAGGTCCTTATCATCAAGATAAGGATATTTGTGCACGTCTATCCATCTCGATATCAAAGCGGCACGAAATTACAGTTTTGTAGAGTGCCTATATTCATCTAACCCGCATCAAAGCTACATGTATGTATGACTGGGGGTCATTCGCCCAGCACGGAAAAATCCATTCTCCCTCAAGCTATCGATGCTGACCCCACTAAATAACAGAGGAATTTAAATTTGTATGAGAGATCTATTATTTAATTGCCAAGAGAGATAACGGGATCTGTTAGGTAGTAAAGCCACACCAAATTTGGCGTTTTTTTTTTTTTTTGGTGGTGGTGGTGGTGGTGGTCAGCATTTTCGCGACAGCTTAAGGGGAGGAGGGACTTGGGTAGTTCTGTTAGATCTAACATGCGCTCGGAGAAGCGTTTCCGGGAGGGGCAGCACTCCTGAAACATGGGTCAGAGTAACTTTACACTGTACTAGCCAAGAAACACGCACTTGTGTACTAGCGACGACCCCGAAAGCTTAAAAGCCCGCGGGTCACGTGCATCTTGTAACTCGGGGGGGGGGGGGGGGGGTTTGTTAGCAATGTGACCGAGTGATGATCCATGATGATCAAGCATCACTATTACACAAAACCAGTAGACAGACTACTTAAGTAGGTACGCGGGTATCTGGAGGCAGTACGGTCGTTGTTGAATCGGTGAGCAAACATCAAGGAGATAAATACTGATGGAGCCGAGCCACTGGCCATGGGAGTTCACACACACATACAAATCTCGTGTGGAGACGTTGAAATTACTATTAGCCAATTGGTGCGCCGCGCGCGCGGGTATCATGCATGGAGGTCTAGAAGGATACAAGTTGGCATATATACCCCCCCCCCCCCACTACACAAGGCTGCTATATATTATGGCCAACAAGAGGCCGTAAAATTCCTTCTGGAGAACGGCGGAAAAAATATCAGAGTAAAATGTCTCGTTGATGGTGCCACATGATCGCTTGTGTCGGCGGCCTGTAGAAAGAAGATGTATAGAAATAGTACGATTCCTGCTGGATCGAGACCTAGCAAATCCTGATAAGGAGGGAAAAAGCACTACATGGCAGCGGGTGTGGGGGGCAAGGGGATAGTCCAACTTTTACTTACAAGAATGTTGATGCGAAAAAATCACCTAGGAGCTACAGCACTTGGATTGTAATTACTACATGTACTCAAGTGGGATTCTGTACAAAGGTTCAGCAAGGTAGATGAGGATACTGTTCAATAACCGTGAATATAGGTGATGACAGCGGCTGCGGATGGCGATCTAGGCATCTTTACACAGGACAACGAAGGATTCACTGATCCCTCCCCTCAACTCCTCACTCCACTCCTCGGAAGAAATAAGTTACAGAACCGTATCTCGCAGCCCCCCCCCCCCCTATATGCAGTTTTGGTGTATTGGTAGCCCATAATTGATAATATATTTTAAAATTACTGTAAGCTACCGCACTTGTGACCCAGGCGCTCTAAAACTCTAGATACACGCAGTGATATAAAAACCAACTCATCTCACAATCTCCTTCTCCAGCCCATTCTTCCCAACCTCCACAAAGTCCAGCAACACACACGCATACACCTCCCCCGTCCTCGTATTCCTCAGCGTATACCTGACCGGCTGCCCATCCCAATACTTGAGCAGATTCAGCCCATACCCCGGCAAGCGAATCTCAAAGTTCGCAAAATCCAGCCACGGCCCAAAGAAATCCAGCCCATACCTCCACCCCTTCCGGAACGTAAACGACTCCCTCTTGGCCCGCTCCAAGAAGAACTTCTTCCTCGCCCCCGCCGCCACCGGGATGCCCGCGGGCTCCGCCGCCGCCGCCATGTCCTCCTCCAGCACCGTGTCGCCGCCCCAGGCCTCGGCCGCGGTGGGCACCTGCATCTCCGTCTGCACAACGTCGCTGATCTCCGCCTCCTGCGGCGTGCTAGTGCCGGGCGGCGCAACGGCGATGACGTTCATGCTGCTGAGGACGCTCCCCCACACCCAGGGCTTGTCTTCGTAGAGGTCGCCCTCGAGCCCGGGGTCGATCCACTTCCCGATGTTCCAGAAGACGCCGAAGCCGTAGGGCAGCAGGTCGCGGATGGGCCGGTCAAAGTCGTTGCCCCAGACGAGGTCGGCGCCGTTGATGTCGGCGGCGGGCGTGAAGAGGAGCTGGAAGGAGTAGAGGTCCTTCTCTTTGGCGTGCGTGGGGTGCGTGAAGTAGGGGTGGGTCGGGGGGAGGGGCTGGCTGGGCGGGCTCTTGTAGGAGGAGAAGCGGATGTGCAGTGTGGTTGTGGAGGCGGGGGTGCTGATTGTGAGTGGCGAGGAGGTGTTGACGGGGACGGGGGTGTGGGTGCGGCGGTCGTAGGTGGGGCCAGCGGTGACGCGGAGGCGGAAGTTTGCGGCGGACATTGTGGGTGGGGATGGAGTTGGGGGGAATGGAGAGTGGTTTTGGGGGTTTGGGGGGGGGGGGGGGAGTTGCGGGGTATGTGGAGCTATATATACTGGGCCCTGGCTACAGTGTGTGAGACCCCCCCGCCACCGTGATGCTGGGGGTGAAGCTTGGTGGTGTTGAGCTGTCTGAGTGAGATGCAATCTGGTCGTGATGTCATTGGCGGGCTTATCGATAAGCGAGACATTTGGGCCCCGGGAGGACTAGCCGGGAATCTAGGGTCGTTTCTTGGCTACGTGTGGATGAATGCACATGTGATAATTCAGACAAAACATCGGAAATCAAGTGTCAGACTTTGGTTTAATTTGATTCTTTGCGAAGGAGTAGAGTGCAGGTTCAGTCTCTATTTCTCGTGGTGCCACACGCGTCGTGATAATAAGCAGCACCAAGAGAGTAGTTACCCCCCCTTGCTTTACAATAATGGCCTTGCTGGCAAGAATATGTGCTCCATTTCTAAATCCCACTTCTCAATCCTGCTATTTGCAGAAAGAGGAGTATACTCACCACTCCATGGTGGTCAGCCAGGATAGACTGGATTCTTGGTTCGACCAGAACAACATCTTTACTATTTGTAGCAGCGAGTTGCTGTCCACGCCTCAAGTCACCTCTCCACCACCGACCGATCCGTAGAGTAAAGCCACAGCTCCGAAAAGGGGGGGCACAGCAATGATTCTTCCTAGACCCTACGTACCCACAGCACAGGGAATACATATACCTAGCCGCAGCTACGTTACCAGTCTTCTTTCATATATCTCTGCAATCGTGGTCCATGTATCCACACACACACTCTACTCTGCGCTACTCTGCGCTGCTCCGCTCTCGAACATGTACGTCTAGTCCTGCCGCCAGGGTAGGCAAGTAAGTCCACCGCCAATATTCCATTCCCCGCCGATGGCCTCGCCGGCTTTCGTACATACCACTAAGCCACTGCCTGGACAGCCTCAGCAGAGGTTACGCTGATGGTGAAACACTGCCGTAGCTACATGCACGTAAAGCCTGAACCCGTAGCTAGGATGGGATAGGATGGGATGGGATGGGCACTCATCAAGCTATAGCTACGTAACAGTAGTCCGTTGTATATAACACAGCTGCAATGGAGCTATGTATTTATCTATATGGGGGGTATACAAGTTCAGGGTGGCTACTGTCCAGAAATCAAAACATACGTATGCGTAGTGTGGGTAAAGAGTAATGACCGGCGTGCATGTTTTCGGGACATCACGTGTTTTTGGCTGCGCCGTGGTGGCGGTGAATTGGGTGTGGATGGATAGATGGGATGGGCTTCTTTACACTAACGTAGAGGGGATACTTGCTTACGGGGACCTAAATTCGGGAAATTGATTGATAGTGTATCACCAGGTCCGTGTCGCACCGCACTGTCACATAACACACATAACCTACACCACCAGCAGCAGCACCCGCGCACCACCCACCTGCCATACCCACAACCATTTATTTCATCACCCCCTATCTACCCCCTCTCCCTCTCTCTACGCCACCACCTTCCCATCCACAACCTTCACCTTCCCCCCCTCGACCTCCACCGCGCCGCCCGGGCTGTCCGCCGTCCGCGCCGTCAGCACCTCAACCCCATCCTCCGTCACCAGCAGCGTGTGCTCAAACTGCGCGCTCATCTTCCCGTCCGTCGTGACGGCCGTCCAGTCGTCGGGCCACGTCGTGTCGCGGTACGTGCCCAGCGAGATCATGGGCTCGATGGTGAAGCACATGCCGACCTTTGCCGTGCCGACGGCTTTGTTCTTGGCGTAGTGGGGGACGTCGGGCGCGCAGTGGAAGAGTTGGTTTACGCCCTGGTGCTGTGTTAGCCGTGCGCCGGGGAGTGTGTGTGTGGGGGGGGGGGGGGGAAGGGGGGGGTAATACGTGTCCGCAATACGCCTTGACGACACTGCACCCCCTCTTCTTCGCAATCTTCTCGATGAGGTCTCCGGGCGACTTGAACAGCATGCCCGGCTTGACGAGCTTGATTGCCTCGTCGAGGCACTCGCGCGACGTCTCGACGACGCGCACGGTGTCCTTGTTGGCCAGCGCGGCGGCGCCGACGTAGTATGTTTCGTTGAGGTCGCCGTGTAAGCCGTTGTGGTAGAGCGTCACGTCGATGTTGATGATGTCGCCGTCGGCGAGCGGGCGCGAGTCGGGGATGCCGTGGCAGATGACCTCGTTGACGGATGTGCACACGGACTTGGGGAAGTGGTTGTAGTTGAGCGGGGACGGGTAGGACTGGTGTTATGCGTGTTAGTAGCAGTAGTGGTTTTTCTATATAGTATGGGGGGGAGCGGTACATCGCGGTCAATACAAGCCTGATGCACAATAGCATCAATCTCATCCGTCGTGACCCCCGGCTTCACCGCGGCCGCCGCAATATCCAGCACCTCCCTCGCCAGCCGGCACACCTTGCGCATGCCCTCGCACTCCTCTGCGCTCAGGAGGGTGATTGTGCGGCTGCTGCGGTTGGTGCGGTTGTGCGCGTTCTCCCTGCGCGGGATGCCGTCGAGCGCATATTCGGGGCGCTCGATCGTCTTTGGCAGCGGCCGGTCGGGCGTCAGCGGGAAGCGCGCCGCCAGCGGGTAGGTGGCGCGCAGGCCGCCGGTGTACGGGTAGTTTGGGAAAGGGTCGTAGGTGCCGCTTACTGTGGGCGGCGTGGGTAAGCGCAGGTCTCGCAGGGTCTGCAGGAGGGTGCGGGTGGAGGGGGAGGAGCTACCTGCGGGGGGTTTCTTGTGGGCGGCTTTGTGCGTGGGCTGGTGCGTGGAGAACGTGCGGGTGGGGGTTAGCGGCGTTCGGGGGAGCAGGTAGCGGGGGGGGGGGGAGGGGGGACGTACCCAGCTGGTTTTGAAGCAGTCTTGTGAGCAGAAGAAGGATTCTTTGCCGAGTTTGAGGCAGTTGGGGCACTGCAGCGTGCCGGCGGCGTTTGCGCAGGAGACGCCGATGCACATTCGAGCGGTGACCATGATGGTATTGTATGGTATGGTATGGTATGGTGGGATATTGGTGGTGGTGGTGGTGATGGTGATGGTATGGTGTCGTGGTGTTGAACGGGCGTGGAGTCAGAGAGAGAGAGAAAGGCTCCAATGTCAACGGGAGGGGGATGGGCAGTCTTGAAATAGTACGCTCAGCACATTTCATGGTATTGGAGGATTCTGATTTGTCATCATGAGTCACGTGCTCTGACTCATTTTCTCTCTGTTATTTATTAGTCATGTTTTTCTATTACTTACATGTATACGGCTATGATTTACTATCTTTTGTGTTACCTTTCTTTAGTATAAATACATGTATGGTGTATTCTCCCCTCTAGTTAGTTGGAATAACACGCTCAATCACTACACTTCTCTACATACATTTTCTCTAGGCAGAGCCAGAGCCAGAGACGTGCGTGTGCTTGGCAAGGGTCCGGGTAGACAGATACCGGGAAAAAGCAATCATCGGGCTATTGGTAATTCTCCATCTGGAAATATTATATGTTTTGGGCTTTGCGTACATGTATGTATCAAGACATCGAATTAGAGCCCATTACAGTTTCTGGCCGATCCCAAGGTTTTGTATCCAGGCACCCTGGAGTAGATATTGGGGATCTCGCTGAAATGCAGTGGTGAATAAACAACCTTGGATCCAGTAGCTTCTAAGGATAAACTTGAAATAAAATCGCTTGTGAACATAAGAACTACATGTACGTGCTCTATAGCTGCGGGTTTTAATGGTATTAAAAAATCAAAAACACAAACCTAGCAGGTGCACCCATATGTGCATGAGAACAAACACAAAGCCGCGTATGTCTACTCGTAATTTTTTGGCGTTTCCGGACTGGACTGGGTCTGCATACCACCAAAATATGGTTGTTCTGCACGATTTTCGCCCATATGCAGACCCAGTTCAGTCCGGAAACGTCAAAAAATTACGAGTATATCTGCAGGTCAACTCCACAAGTTCTCAAGGCGCACACGATAAAACGCTACCAACCACGACAATCACCGCCTCAATCCTACTCGCACTCCCAGTTGATCTCGCCACCACATCAGAGACACCCACCCGGGCCAGCTACTCGCCTCTCCTCATGCAGATTCGGACATTGACATCTAACGGCCGGTACATGTCACTGTCGCGGGACCACCGATTCTTACTGTCTACATAACTTATTATTGCTAGAGGCTGCGCCTGAAATACTTGGACAATGTAGTACGCACACACCGTCCGGATATCTCGGGGTACGGTCAAGTCGCATACCATATCGATGCCCCAGCTCCGAGTCTAGCTGGGGGAGGGAGTCAGTCGGCATCTCGTCCCGTACCGAGACAGTGACTTGGCGACTGCTATTTTCTCAACACACGCTATGGGCAGTACAGTAGTTATGGTATCAGTGCTATAGTGAGAAAAGCTTGAAATAATAGTTTGCAATCTACGTACTCTAGACTCGACCAGTATCCAAAGACAGATCAAGTCTTCCCGCCCAACACCGAACCCATCGGCATCATCATCTCCCACCGTTTCACCCCCCCCCCCCCCCCCCCGGGCGGGCGCCACCCCTGGTCAACCCGCCAATCGTTACATCACCACACCCGTGAAACAAGGCCCCCTCCCCCCCAAATTAATCCCCCACACCTTCACACAACCTAATCTCCCTCAGACCCAGATCGTCCAGGACGTTTTGTCACCGCCCACCCCCATGCCCATGTATACATGCCCGGGATTACACATATTAGATAACCTGGAGTTAATTCAGCCTCCGTCGAGAGAACCCGCTGCGCAGGGCTGAAGAGGATGCCTGGGGATGAGAATTTAGGCTTTGGGCTTCGGGATTTGGGATTTGGGATTTGGGTCTGCATGGGCTATGTAGGGCCCTAGGGAGGGAGGGAGGGAGGGAGGGAGGGAGGGTATTTTCGGTACATACCTTGGCACTGGCTATGGTTGCGGGTGTCTGCTGTGGCTGAGGCCTAGGGAATGTATCGTA